ACTGGTTAGATCCTACTCCATTTATCCAGAAAAGGAGGACGTCGATGATGTTTCAGCTGAAAACATCCTTAGAGATATGCCACAACCTGCCTGCACTAGCTGCTAACAATATGAATTTGACTAGCACTATGCTGTCAGTGAAATGTTTATGCCACAGACACCATTGACAAAGACCCTAGTATCATAATTGCATGCTTTTGCAGTAACTATTTTCAGCAACCTATCCTGAAATCACAAACTATATCATTAAAAAGATTTTGTACAAAACTTGCTAACGCCTATTTTATTACTTTACTGTATGATGACCTTACTACTGGTGGAATGCGATATACCCATTTTACCCGAGGATGTACCCATTTTCTCTGGCGATGAGCTATGGGGCTTACCCCAATATTTTAGTAACAAACATATGTTCATTGACCTGGTTATAAGTGGTCATAGACTTAATGCAAAGTTTATGATTTAAAATTTTGATAACATAAATAAACGGTTCGCTCAGAGCTATTGCCTGAAAAAGTGCCTAATGTATACCCATTTTACCCCGGGTGACCCTACCAAATACTGTTAGTCTGCTGATATCCGTCTTTCCCCATTCTGGAAACGTGCTGAACTACGCCGGAGCTCTGCGCCAGTCAATCACACTAACCAGGTTCTTCCTACATTCTTGACATCAGAGTACGTGGCAATCCCGATTCTTCTCTTAGCCAGTCATAACATCCGCGAAGATATGCGGAGAGTCAATAACAATTCGGCAAGTGCCAGAAGCTCTGATATCAGCACGGCTGGTAACAGCGATGCTTAAGTGTTGGCGTCTTCTAGGCACCAGGGGTTAGAGGTGAGCGTCTCGTTCATAGCATCCGCATGCTACTGTAGGCACACATACGTACACATCCTTCGACCGATAATTCACTATCCACTTGACTAGCTGAAATACTAAGAGTCTGAAAACCCGCCCAGTTCTAAATTTTTGCTGCGGTGTTTCGAGTAAGACTGTGCAAATGCCTTAGTGTTGTCACCTTGGTGTCCGTCAATCAGCCAAGCTGTTTACAAAATTGTGGGCGAAAAGACAAACGACAGATGATGGGAGATCTATTTCCGAGCAGGTTAATCTTGCGAAATTGAACTTTGGTTAAAAGGGAAGAGTTTTCTAACCCAGGATGGGTTTGGTGTCAACTTTGACTAGCGGAAACGAACAGTTGTGGATAGTGCACACCAAATTCAATCTAATGTGTTAGTTTTTAAGCGACACACAACTTTTACCTTTATTGTAGCTTCATTGGTCACTATGGGCATGTTTATTGGACTCCAGATACTTCAGTTCAGTTCAGTTGAACATCTGTGATCCGAGCACTGAAGTGCCGTGGATCTAGCTGTTACTACTCATGTCGCAAGAATAGCAATAAATAGCAACGCTGATATAGTGGGGTTAAGTGCAAATAGAAGCAGAAGGAATAGCGGAAACTAAAAGCAGCAATAAGATGCTTTAAAATAATCCGAATAGAACGACAATTAACAAGATGGAAGAAACCGAATGCAGGAATACCACTGACTGCGCGACTGCGCCATGTTGATAAAGTCTCCAACCAATCCTGTGCACCATCTGGTAGCCCCAATCCATGAAGACGCACCAACCTGATCAAAACCCAGACAATTTCTCCGTGCCTCTATACCACGTGATGGATTAGCCACCTCACGGTTTCGCTCGGCTTGGTGCAGCGTCGGCGTGTAATGCACGCCGAATAATCCGATCGACGGACATATGGAGGGCATGACATGGGCGGCATAAGCGGTTGAGCTTAAGCAAACACTACAGACACCAGAAGGCTTCTTGCCAAAAGCAATTGGCGAACCTTTGTATTGCTCAACCGATGTTCCCAACAGAAGTGAGCAATACCCCTCAAGCACGGGTGGTTGAACACTGTCAAGTGTTTAATGTCTTCACTGCGAACTGACCAGATCCCTGACCAATACACTAAGACAGGGATTACCGCAGCGTCATACACCTTACCTTTTATTAAGAGGCTGATACCCCGCCGTCTCCATAGATGGTTGGGTCTCTGGAAAGCCGCACAGGCCTTGTTAGTACGAGAAGTAACTTCCTCAGGGATGTGACCACCACAGGTGCCAGTTACCAAGGCAAGTGAACCGATCCACCACTTCCCGTGACTGCTCAGTGATAACTAAAACCGGAGGTGTATCGGTCCAGTCCTGTAACAGTACTTTGCACTTTGAATGTGCAAGGAACATGCCAAAGGGTGCAGCGCTACATGTTAGTCTATCCAGTAGTGTTTGCATAGCT